GGCGGCCGCTTTTGCCTCGCGGGCGGCGGGGAAAGAAACTGCCTGGCGCTGCCCGGGCCCATCGCAGCGGCGCAGGAGGGAGCAGGCCCCGGGCGGAGCGGGAAGATGCCGCTTCTTCGGGCCTCCGGTCCTGGGAGCTGACCGTGGGGGTGCGCAGCGCCTCCCCCGCTCCCGGGGGTTATTTCCGCCCCGGAGCTGATTAGTCTCCTGAGTGAAACGTGTCCCCCCCACCTGGATTCCCGTGTTTAGCCAGCGGTAGGCCCCTGCCGCATGTTACCTGTGCTGTGCAATTCACTGGTCAGTCACGCAGCACACTTTATGAGCCACATGTGCAGAGTAATTAATCGTGCAATAAAGATGACCGTCCAGCTAGCAGAAGAGCCAACCCGGTCTAAAGCGAGCACTTGAAGACGTGTGACCGCTCTCCAGCTGGTTTCTGTCCAGGTGTAAGAACACAACAGCTGGCAGGGTTGTGACTTAGGAGCTGGGTTAAAAGGAGCAGCGAGTGGGCAGGTGAATTGCAGGAGAAAGGGTAGCCCCATGAGTGGGACTTCTAAGAGCATCAAAAAGAGAGAGAGGGTTGTTATCACCGGTGGGATGAAGAGTTTAGAAGGGCCCAGGTAGATTATAAAGAGCTGTGAAGTCAGTTGACTCTGTCACTGCTCCCTCAATAGAAAAGCTGCTGCTGTGGCCAGGTATGTGGTTTTAAACCGTGAGAGTAACAGGAATCAGAGCAAGGTGCAACTGCACCACTGTACTCCCCTCCCCAGCCCCATTCCCCTCCTGGTCAGTCTCTGTTCCCTGTGGTGTTTGCCTCCAAGGTTAGGCTCTGTTTTACACTGTGACTTTGGCACTTCTCAGCTTCTCATATACCTAAGGGGTGGTGAAAAAATGCACATGGATGAGCATTTCTGAGCAGCAGAATGTACTCGGGGGTGCAGCTGGTACCCATCCTGGGTTAGAAAGCATTTGCATTTGATTCACAGAGTGTGTATGGGAGTGAATCTTGTACTGTGTGGTTACCATGTGCTTTCTTGTCCTTTTATGTTGCAGAGAGGACAACAGAAATCGGGCGGTTAATTAGTTCTTATTTGGAAAAGAAGAACAATTTGGAGGACCACACAGTGCATCTGCTTTTCTCTGCCAACCGCTGGGAACACGTGTAAAGATAACTCTTGTCTAATTATGCTAGGAAAAAGCACAGCTTTGGAAGGGCTCCATAACACAGTGGGTTAATGTATTATTTGCTTAACCTCTTGAAGCCTGAATTTGAAGCTTTGTTCGGCTGTAAGTGCCGAACGTGGTAGACTCGGTCTCTTATCATTTCCTTACATGTATATCACAAAGGCCTCTCGCAGTTTGGTCAGGTTGGAATTCTCTAATGAAGAAAGGGCTGGAGCAAAGTTGTCCATTTTGGGAAGAATCTAAGTGGTCTGTTTTGCCCAAGAGAAGTCAGGTTCTCAACCTGTAACACAGAGCAGGATGGAAGAAGTATGGCATGCATCATCCTCATCAGCAGCATTGTTGCTGGAGGGATTTACAACCATTCTGTCTTAAAAGGCAGTGACACTGAGGTAGGGGATAGAGGCTCAGTTTTGAGAAAGGATATGGATGTTGGAAGCATATAAACAAAAAGGCACATCCTCAGTGAGCTGATAAACTACTGTAACCCCAACATAGTCCATTTGTAGCAAAAGGGAAAGGCGTGACTTGATGTTAGGTGAAGTTTCTTCATTTTAGCATAAATGCAAGAGTGTGACTTCTCTTCTTTTTCTTGTGTCCAGGCCATTGATTAAAGAGAAATTAAAACAAGGTGTCACTCTAGTGGTAGACAGATATGCCTTTTCTGGGGTGGCCTTCACAAGTGCCAAAGAGGTAAGTGAACAGAAAGCAAACAGTTTCTGCCTCTGTGTAATGGTGTTCACAACTGTGCAGGGAGTTGAAATTGTTTTGTGCAGCCTTGGCTACCCCTATGGAGACAGGCAGTTTGAAGCCCAGAAGTTTGTGTCACTTGGACTGAACAAAGTCATGGACTGAATCCTGCTTCTTCAATTTAGCTATCCAAATGAACCCTGCATTCTCCCCGCAAAGAATGAATAGCGTGAAGAATAACTTGAGAGATAATGTAGATTTAGCCTAGACCTATAAAAATAGATGTCCAAGGCTGTACAGGTACAGCCCATATGAGTGCTTTTAAAAGCACCAAGAGCCATTGGGCCCCCATTGGAATTGTTACAAATACAGCGTTATATGAAACTGGGAATACATTGAATCTTGATGGACATGGTTAATAGAGTTCATGAAACATCAACAGTTTTGACTGAGTCAGTCCAGTGGTCTTGACTCTTGGAAACTAACATGGCCTCTTGTTTGAGTAGTGGGTTTGTTCATTTTGAACCTCCATCTTCCCTAGTGGAGAAACTAGAGGCAACTCTAGAACTTGACTGTAGCCGTTGGGTTGTCAAGGAGGTTTATGGAAAGTTTTATATTTGTAAACACAGCACAAAAAATTGGAGGTGTTTGCAGGTTTGGTGAGTTGGGTTTTCAGCTCATCTTCAGATAGGCTGAAAGTAATTCCTTGGCCCTTCACATTCACTGATGCTCTCTGCTGAGGTATAGAAATACAGGGTGTCTATAGACATGTAGTGAAGCTGCTCTGACATGTTCCCCCCCACCACTCCCAGAGCACGTCTATAAACGCCCATAGATTTGGTAAACTAGAAAAATGGTTTCACCCAGAAACAGCCATCAGTTGGTTGGAGCTGCCTGGGGCTGCTTAGTGTTCATTCAGTGATTTGAAAATGTGACTTGGCATTTCACTGTTGATGACTGCATCTCTAGAGAGGTAGTTAGTAGTGTTAATCAAGTCAGGCAGAAGGCAGGATAGAGATTTTACTTCACTAAGAGTCCCAGGTGCACAGCATCTCTAAAGATGGATATAAGAATCTGTACATGTATTTTCTAGTGTGTATACTGGGGCCAGATTCTCAGATGGAAGGCTGCAAAGAGGCTTTTGAGTCAGAAGACTTCTACTGACACCAGTGGGGATATCTTTCCTGCATCTCTCCTGCAGTTGTTTGTTCTACCCTGGGTTTCTTGCTGGTCTGTTTTACTCCCTCTTGGTCTCATTTGTTTGTTTCCTGCACCTTCCATTTATTTCTCCCTCTCGCTTTGGACAGAACTTTTCCCTGGACTGGTGCAAACAGCCTGATGTTGGGCTTCCAAAGCCAGATTTGATCCTGTTTCTTCAGCTGAGCATGTCAGAAGCAGCAAAACGTGGGGGCTTTGGAAATGAGCGTTATGAGAACAGTTCCTTCCAGGAGAAGGTACTACAGCACTTCTACAACCTCATGAAGGATGAGACTCTAAACTGGAAGGTGAGGGGAAGAGGGATCTCCTGGGAGGGTGCTAGACAGGCCAGTGAACAAGGGCCTCAGCCAGGGGTGGTCCAGACCCCTTCTGGCCCCACACCAGGCTGCTGTATATAAATCCTGCTCCCTAGGTGTGTGATCTTGAGGTTTCCTGAGTCTGAGTGGAGCCCAAGCTGTAGGATTCTGGGCATGCTTTGGGGTATGGATTCTCTTTCTAACACCCCTTCTTGAAAACAGGCCTTGTGGTCCAACTGCCTGAGTTCTGAAAATAGTGCCACATTTCCCAGACTCCTCTATTGCTTTGAGCACAGTTTTTTCCAGAGCCCCAACCGTGCTAGTTTCAAACACCTTTTTAGGAATGTGCGAGAGCTTAAAGCAGGTGGATTTGCACAGAGGGTTTCTACAGAAATTACCCTTTATTCTGTGGAGCAGGACAGATGCAAATCTATGTGAAAACAAGTCTCTCTGCACTCTTCCCCTGCCTTCAACCTTGGCTGGTCCTGCACTTGGAAAGTCCTTGCAGAAGTTAGCTCCTTTGTTCCTCTCCCCTTTCCTCAGGCTGCCTTTGTCTGACACACCTAGTCTCATATGCTCCTCTGGGGAAATTCCACAGCCCCACCCATGCTCCCTACTGGTTACCTGGAATAACTGGACTCCTCCAGCTCATAACCACCCACCTCAGCCCACCCAATGCCCTGCCAGAACTCAGTTACTAGATGTTAACCACATTGTCTGTGTGCCCTGTATACTTACAAGGAGGAATATTGTGCACTGGTCCGGACCTGCAGAGACCAAACCAGGAAAGCCAAGGCTGTGACTGAACTCTAACTGGCTACAAATATCAAGGACAATAAAAAGTCCTTTTTTAGATATGTGGGGAGCTGGAGGAAAAGCAAGGGCAATGCTGGACCCCTGCTAAACCAGATGGGACAACTGACAACCAACGCCCATGAAAAAAACAACTTGCTAAATGGGTACTTTGTGACGGTCTTTCACCAGTCCCAGGGGACACCCCCTGCCCATTACGTGGCAGGAAGGCCTGGGTGAGGGAGATTCCTTAGCCTCCATCGATGCTGACCTCGTAAAGGAACACCTTGACAGGCTGAATACCTTCAAGTCAGCCATCCCCGACTGTTTACACCCAAGGGTACTCAAGGAGCTGGAAAGCATCATAGCTCAGCTCCTGGCATGGATCTATGAGAGCTCCTGGTGCTCTGGTGAAGTGCCTGAAGATCAGAAGAAGGCCAATGTGGTGCCTATCTTCAAGAAAGGGAGGAAAGTGGATCCAGCAAACTACAGGCCCATCAGCCTGATCCCTATCCCAGAGAAGGTCCTAGAAAAGATTATCAAAGAGACCATTCTCAACAGACTGGCCAATGGCAAAATTCTGAGGGATAGCCAGCACGGGTTTGTCACGGGTAGGTCTTGCTTGACCAATCTTATTTCCTTTTATGACCAGGTGACCTATCACCTGGACAAGGGAGAAGAGATTGATATCATATATCTTGACTTTAAAAAAGCCTTTGATCTGGTATCGCATGATCACCTCTTGGCAAAACTGGCCAACTGCGGCCTCGGCTTCTGCACAATCCGCTGGCTGGGGAATTGGCTACGTGGTTGGACCCAGAGGGTGGTGGTTGACGGAAGTCAGTCGTCGTGGTGCCCTGTGACCAGTGGGGTCCCTCAAGGCTCTGTCCTTGGGTCTATATTGTTCAACATCTTCATTAATGATGTGGACACTGGAGTCAGAAGTGGACTGGCCAAGTTTGCTGACGACACCAAACCTTTGGGGTCAAGTGTCCACACCTGAGGACAGGAGGGCAATCCAGGCTGACCTTGGCAGGCTCAAGAAATGGGCAGACAAGAACCTGATGGCATTTAACACTGAAAAATGCAAGGTTCTCCACCTTGGAAGGAAAAACCCGCAGCATGCTTATAGGCTCAGCAGTGCTACACTGGCTAGCACTTTGGACGAAAGGGACTTGGGGGGTCATGATTGACCACAAGATGACCATGAGCCTTCAATGTGATGCTGCGGCTAGTAAAGCAAGCAAAACAGTGGCTTGCGTCCATAGGTGCTTCTCAAGCAAATCCCAGGACTTCATTCTCATGTTGTACTAGGCCTTGGTGAGGCCGCAACTGGAGTACTGCATCCAGGGCTCCACAATTCAAAAAAGACGTGGAGAAGCTTGAGAGAGTCCAGAGGAGAGCCACGTGCACGATAAGGTCAGGAAAACAGACCTTACAATGAGAGGCTGAGCCATGGGACTCTTCAGCCTGAAAAAGCGCAAGCTCAGGGTTGATCTGGTGGCCACATAGAAGTTTATCAGGGGTGCTCATCAGATCTGGGGGAACATCTGTTCACCAGAGCGCCCCAAGGAATGACAAGATCGAACGGTCACAAACTCCTCCGTGACCGTTTCAGGCTGGACATAAGGAAGAACTTCTTTACTGTCCGAGCCCCCAAGGTTTGGAATAGACTGACGCCAGATGTGGCTCAAGCACCTACTTTGAACACCACATTTGGATGTCTATCTTGCTGGGATCCTATGACCCCTGTTGACTTCCTGCCCTTTGGGCAGGGGGCTGGACTCGATCTTCCGAGGTCCCTTCCAGCCCTGGTGTCTATGAATCTATAAGTCTCGAAGCCCTCTGGGTCAAACTACAGGGTGTGGCAAGAGAGACCTAACTAGGTGTATACTACAGACCACCAAACCAAGGGGAGGGGCTCGATCTTGAGTTCTCTCAAGAACTGGCAGACACTGCATGTGCACGGGACATGCTCGTCATGGGCGACTTTAATTTCCCAGACATCGCTTGGGAGGAACACTTGGCTAAGTCAGATCGGTCGCGTAGCTTCCTGACTTGCATTGAAGAGCTCTGTCTGACTCGGGAAGTGCAAGGGCCAACCAGAGGGTAACACTCCTAGGCTTGGTCTCGGCCAAAGGAGATAATCAGGTGAGCAACTTGAATATAGAGGGTAGCCTAGGCAACAGTGACCATGAAATTATCATGTTCGCTGTCTGTCTCAAGGCAGGCAAATCAACTAGCAGGATTGAAGTTTTGGATTTCAAAAAAGTGAATTTCAGCAGACTCAGTGTAATAGTAGGGGAAGCGATGCAGAACCAGGGACTGAAGGTGAATGGAGTACATGAAGAATGGTCATTCCTGAAGGACACGATCCTTAAAGTACAAAAGAAAACCATTCCTGTCTGTGTGGAGGAAAGGTAGCAAAAGGGCTGGCAAGCCCTCTTGGCTTAATAGGGATATCATGGTCCTCTTGAAAAAGAAGAAAGAGGCATACAGACAATGGAAGCTTGGGACACAACAACAGCCTGTGCTTGTAGGGAGAAGATTAGAAAAGCTAAGGCAGCAACTGAATTTAAGTTAGCAATGGGAATCAAGGCAATAAGAAGTCCTTTAGGTATTACCAGTACTAGGTATTCTCCTGAATGACTACTTTGCTTCAGTATTTCACTGGACCAAGGGGAAAATCATGTGTGATAAGGTTCAGAGGGGGCATGGTGGGATTGACTGCCTTTTTACTGTTGTCACTGAGCTGGTGCATGATCAGTTTAAAAAGTTAGCAGGACTGGATGTACTTCACCCAAGAGTGCTGAAGTAGCTGGCTGAGGTCATTGTGGGACCTCTAGTAAAACTCTTTCAAAACTGGAGCTCAGGGGAGGTCCCTGAAGACTGGAAGAGGGCCAATATTGTGCCCATCTTCAAGAAGGGGAGGAGAGAGGACCCGGGCAACTATAGGCAAATTAGCTTAACTTCTATCCCAGGGAAAATCCTGGAAACATTCATTAAAGAGTCTATGTGCGATACGGTTGCAGAAGGTAGGATTCTGAACAATAGGTTTTGTTGCAGGCAGGTCTGGTCTTACCAGTCTCTTCTCCTTCTACGACCAGGTATCTCGCCACCTGGATAAGAGAGAGAAAGTTGACATTATATATCTAGACTTCCAAAAGGTCTTTGATCTGATATCCCATGATGTTCTCATGGGGAAAATTGAAGGATTGTAGGCTTAATTGCTCAATGGTTAGTTGTGTAGGAAACTGGCTGCGAGGTAGGACCCAGAGAGTTCTAATGAACGGATCTGTGTCATCCTGGTGAGAAGTGGCCAGTGGTGTCCCTCAGGGGTCTGTGCTTGGTCCAGGGCTTTTCAACATTATCAATGTTTTGGATGATGGGGTGAGGAGCTCACTGGCCAAGTTCGTGGACTACACCAAACTATGGGGGAGCATGGCCACGCTTGAAGATAGGTTGCAGATACAAGCAGACCTGGACAGGATGGAGAGTTGGGTAGACTGGAACCAGATGAAGTTCAGCACTGAGAAGTGTGAAGTGCTCCATCTGAGGACAAACAATCCCCAACATACTTACAGGCTTGGTGGCACCAAACTTACTAGCACCACGACTGAACGGTACCTAGGGGTAATAATAGACCATGGCATGAACATGAGCTATCAGTGCAATGCTGTAGCCAGGAGAGCAAACAATACTCTGGCATGCATCATGTAAAACCAAGGAAGCGATTCTTCCACTTTACTCGGCATTGGTGAGACCACAGCTGGAGTACTGCATCCAGTTCTGGGTGCTGCGCTTCAACAAGGAAATGGAAAAGCTTGAGAGAGTCCAGAGAGCCACCCATATGATCAGAGACTTGCACAGCAAGACATACAAGGAAAGGTTGAGGGACTTGGGTCTCTTCAGCCTAAAGAAGAGAAGGCTGAGAGGGGACTTGGTAGCAGCTTACTGCTACATCAGGGGAATACATCAAGGCCTTGGCAAACAACTGTTCACCAGGGCACGCTTGGGGAAAACCAGGAGTAATGGCTACAAACTCCTGGAAGACCGCTTCAGGCTCAATTCTAGGGAAAACTTCTTTATGGTCAGGGTGTCCAGACTGTGGAATAAACTGCCTCTAGATGTTGTGAAATCACCTACCCTAAAAATCTTCAAGAGGAGACTGGATGGTCACCTGACCCCAGTTGTCTTTCCTGCCTAGTCCAGGGGGCTGGACCCAATGATCTTGTGCGGTCCCTTCCAGCCCCTTACAGTGTGTGAATCTGTGAAGTTTGGGAGCTCCTCTGCCCCTACACTCCTGCCTTGTACCTCCAGGTATTAATCAGTCACTATTAGGGCTGTGCCCCAGCATCATAGCTATAAGTGTCAGCCTTGGCTCCCAGTATCCCCTGGAGTCCATCTATTATCAGTATAGGAAAAGTAGAGTAGACAGGCTGCTTCTCACCTGTCTGCCACCAGACATGCTTCCTCCTCAGCTTGCCACTGGGTTTGGTTTCCTGGAAGCTTTTAAGGCTTCTGCCCAATCCCTGGAGCCAATCCTCAGCTGTCTCCACTGCACAGCTGGGGCTGCTCCCTTATGCTACAATGGAGAAGGGGTTGCAGTCAGTTGGATCCTGGCTTACTTGAGAGGCTTCTAAGGAGCCATAGCCACGCTGTCATCAGGACTTCTGGTTTGAGCCAGCAGCGGTTCATAATGCAGGTTCCCAAGTCTGCCGCTCCCCCTGGTGCTGCTAGGAACGAGTGGAGACTGTCCCAGCTCTGTTGCTCCAGCTGGGTGTCTGGTAAGTCTCAGGGATCCAGACAACTGGGGCACGGTGGCTAGCGGGGTTTGTTCCCCACTTCTCCACAGCTCCACTACACTGGTAATTCAGCAAAAGTTAAAATATGGTTAGTTTAACACCTTTAAAGGTGTTTTGAGTACAGTGGGACTCAGGACAACCCCCTTGAAAACCCTGCAGTGTTTTTTTGTAGTGGTAAAGGGCAGCGGCATTTGTGTTTCCATTTCATAAACTTTGAATGGGGGTTTTGCTGTACCATGAGACTATTGTGTTAACTGTTCTCTAGCTGTTTAACTAAACAGGAAGAGCCTAGTAGAGGATTTTTATTTTTTTTCTTCTTAAAGGTGAACTACTTTTATATGCCCAGAGAAGAATTAAGATTTTTTTCTATAAAAGATTTGTCCCCTCTGTGATTTTTGCTAGTGTTGGGCAAGGAGGTCTATAATACTTGAAACCCAGTGCCCTGGAGCCTTTGTTACTAACACATTGTATTCATTACTAACTCTTTCACTGGTTCCCCTACTTAAAGCTCCACATTCAGCTATCAGGTGTTCTTTTCTATGTGCATATTTTCTTCCTTTCTCCTATTTCCACGACAGGATTTGTGCATAAGAGAGAAAGTCAAAATCTCATCCTAAGATACCTGATGTAAAAAATGAATGCGTCAAGGAGAGGATAGAAATAAATTCAAGATAGTTAAGTTTCCCCTATTTAAGCACCTCACTCTTTTGTGTTCTTTTTAAGAGTTGGATATGAAGGGTTTGGACAGACATGCATATAAATTGCTTCAAATTCCACTTTTTTTCTGAACC